TGAAATGCTTCTTCTAATCATGTAGTTATTAAAAATTAAAAAAATAATGATTAAAAGTATAATTCTTAAAAAAATTTACAACTAATTTTGAAAGAGATTCATCTTAGCTCTGGAAATTGTTACTGAATATGTCAGTGTTGTTGTAATGAATTGCTTCTTCTAAGTATGTGGTTATTAAACAAATAATTAAAATAATATATTTATGTTATTTTTCTTTGTTCAGTCTACAAAACCATACCTGTTTATCATTGAGGAAAATCATTAGAATTTTGGAATATATTTTACAAGATGGTTTCATCTGTTACAACTTAACTTCCAAGACTTCCATAGCATCAGGATGGCATTTAAAATAGCAACAAGAAATTTTATGTTCTTTAGTTATTTTCAAGGGTTCTTTGATGAGTTAGTACCAGGTAAAATTTGATGCTTGTCATTCGCACTTGGAAGATTTCACTCCGAATGACACCAACATAACAATTTCACCTTTCCTTTTTAAAGTACAGCTTACACCTTTGGGGATATGATGGTATAGAGGGGTTATTTTTCTCAAAGAAGAAAAGACAATCAGGAAATCTTTGTCCATGAGATTAGACTGAAATGTTCTCTCCTTCAGGGCTACTGAATGCTATTCTGTGCCAGGCATTATGGCAAAAATTGGTGCCAAAGTCTTTATCACGTACAATGAGTACTTTTAGTGGATTGTAACTTTAATATGATCTAATTGCATGATGAGGCTACTGATAACCTTGATGCAATCTTATGCCTCATTAATAGAATTAGTATTGTGTACAGATCCTGGCAGGTCAGCTGCTGCTGTTCTCTTACTTGGTTAGACTGTGTCTGGAATGCATGGTATCAACGTGGAGCTAAGCTGGGAAATTTAAGTTCTTCTAGCATTGAGGAGTTGCTGATTAAAGCTTCTGCTATGTTTGCTTATGAGGATTGTTGGAAGGTTGGAGTAATGCATTGCATGGAATGACTTCATCATTTTTCTGGTTGGTTATCTCTGCCCTGAAGTAAGACTCAGAAAGATGTGACTGTGTCCACTACCATGTCCTCCCTGCTTAACACATTGCCTGACACGTTCAGTAAATATTTGGGTCAGTTTTGAGGGGAAGATGATGGTAAACCTTCATATTTGTTACAAAAATGTGTTAACAATTTTGTATGTATGTGGAAAGGCCAGAGATCAAGCGCAGGTGTTGTTCCTTAGGAGCATTGTCTACTCTGTATTTTTGAGACAAGATCTCTCATTGGGACCTGATGCTTGCGTATTAGACTGGGCTGGGTTGGCTGGCCAGCAAGCCCTAGGGATCCTCCTGTCTCTGCCTCCTGACTGACTGCTGGAATTACAAGCATACACCACTACCCCTGGCTTTTTGCATGGGTGCTAGGATTATACTTGGGTCCTCATGCTTGTTTGGCAAACACTTTGCTTATGGAGCCATCTCCCCAGCCCAGAGAGTAGATAGAGGCCCCAAGTGTTGGAATTTTTAGTTGGAAGATTTCAGTTATTCCTAAGAAGTTTATTAAACTTAAGATATATTTATCAGCTAAATTAATAAGCTTTGTGTCTTTGAATTCTGTTGTTGTGAATCTGTGGCTAGAGACTAAATGGGGATTACTTTTGTTCATATATTTTATAGATTATGGGCCAAGATGATGATTTCAGCTCTTGAAATTATAGCTGTGTGTTTCTTTTTATTTAGTTATTTCATTTAACACGAAGTAGTGTGAATCAGCACAGGATTGTTTTTCTAACCTATTTTGTTCTTGTCTTTTCAGCTTAAAGCAAGGCAGGGACCTAGAATGGGAGAGGGCTGCAGCCAATGAGCAGTTAACCAGAGCTATCCTTCGGGAAAGGATATCCAGTGAGGAGGAGCGCTCGAAGGCAAAGCAGCTGGTGAGTCTCCAGGTTTACAAAAGGTGTCTTACTCTTGAGGCCATCCTCAAGGTTCAGGGAAAGCTAAGCACTCTGCCAGTGTTAGAGCTCAAGTTCTCTTCTTGGTGGAGGTTGTCTTGAGCTCTGTATATTACAAGTAGCTGATGATTTATGATTGGCCGTCAGGGACATTAAGGTATGTAACTTGCAAAGTGTTGTAGTCAGGACTAACACACACACACACACACACACACACACACACACACAAGTATCATGGCTGGAAGAATAATGCATATTTGCTGTTTTGCTTCTTTGGTTTCTGGTTTTTTATTTTTTTATTTTTATGTTTTTGTGTGTGTCTTTAACACTCCTGGGGCCTGCACCCTGGCTTTTGTCTTCCCACTGGCAACTTCCAGTTTACACACACACACACACACACACACACACACACACGTGCACATACACGCATAGCAAGACATAAAAAGAGGAAAGTTCTCAAAAAAATGTGAAAGCATCAGGATGTCTTTGAACACAGAAGTGACTCCTCTGTAGTGTGATGGTGTGGTTTGGTTGGACCAGGATATTTCAGCCTGTTCTCTATTTTCACCTAATAAATCTTACCTATTACTTGTCTTTATTTTTATTTAACTAGTCAAGCATAAGGAACTTGCAGTGTACGTTCTGTTTTGCACATCTCTCTCTTACTGATTTCTGGGGTTGTATGGTATAGATGGCCAATTACAGTACTCACAACCCCTGCATTTCACCATTTATCATAATATTGACCAGATAGAGTTCTCAAAGCACTTAGGCAATAAGTAGAATTTATACAGTAGGATGATAACTGGCTCAGAGGGTCTTTTTCTGGCTCAAGTGTTCACAAATGTTGGAGTGGTATGTTGCTGCCTACGGCCACAGAGCTACTGGGTAAATCCTAAATTATTTGTAATATAATCTCCCTTTGTTGTTATTTGTTATTGTAGAAAACATACCTATTCATTAGGTACAGATCAGAAAATAAATCCAAAAATATGTTAAAAGTCATCACTATCCAGAGATAATTATTGCTAATATTTTGGGTTTGTTTATTTACTTGTGTGTGTATGTGTGTGTGTGTGTGTGTGTGTGTGTGTGTGTGTGTGTGTATACTTATATGTGGATGCATGTATAAATATGTATAGAGGCCAGAGGTCAAACCTTGGGCATTGTTCCTTAGGTGTTGCTGTTTGATTTTTGAGACAGGGTTTCTCACTGTTCTGGGACTCTCCAGTTAGGCTGTGCTGGCTACCAGTGAGCCCTAGAGATCTGCATGTCTAGCTCTCCCCAGTGCTGGAATTACTGTGGTGTGACACCTGGTCTGTTTTTTTTTTCCCTCCCCCTGTGGGTCCTGGTGATTGAATTCAAGTACTCATGTTTGCATGGCAAGCACTTTACCAACTGGGGCGATCTCTCAATCCCAATATATTTTTTTCAATAATTCTTTTTGCTTTCCATTGAGTTCGTGTAAGACATTTATACATTAAGCTTATTTAAGACATTTTTCTTTATGAATGCATTTCCAAAACATACATAGATTTTTTTTTCCCTTATAGTCTTATAATAGCTTCTACATTTGCAAAACACTTAACTATATGGCAAAAATTTTTATATCAGTGTGCATGTTTTTGTATGTTCACTATTTAATGATTGAATATTTTTAATGAGTCTCCCCCAAAATTATTAAAATAAGACAAAGATATTAGACAAAATTTAGAAAATGTAGAAATTATGAAAGAAAATTATTAACCAGGAGTGGTGGTACATCCCTATAATCACTGCATTTAGTGTCCAAAGGCAGGAAGGTTGTGAGTCCAAACCCAATCTGGGCTATATTAGAAAGTGCTATTCCATACTGGGCTATGTATAGTAAGATTGCATCTCAAGAAATAAAAAAAAAACAAACTTAAAACAAGTTAAAATATTGTAATTTTTCATTAATGTGTAGAAGCATAAATTTTTCTTTACCCCTACTATTCCTTGTATTCCACATCGGCTTTACGGCTTCCGATTCTACATCCTGCAACCTTTGAAACAGAATCTGCTCGGGTGGATACTATGCCTTCTGTTATCCTGTGATTCTGGTTGCTGCGGTGGCTATCTTCAGACCCCATGATAATGAGCAAGTCAGCCTGAGAATGTTGGCATTCTTCTGTTGTGAGCACTGGGATCTGTTGCCTCCATTCTTTATGTGAGCCTCTGAGTGATGACCTTTTTATTTGGAACCCAAGTGTTTCAGCTTGCAAGAAAGTAAACTCTGGGTTTGATGCATTTGAAGTAACTAGAAAACTATCCCTTAGAACCGATGTGATGATGTGTAGATTGTGTATCTCTTGCTCAAAATGCTTGGACTTTAGGCATTTTAGATCTTAGATTTTTAAGGAATTCGGTTTATTTGCATATACATGATGAGAGATCTTGAGGATGCGACCCTAGACTAAACATAAAGTTGATGTTTCAAATATACCTTATACACATAGACTGGACCTATTTTTCCAATATTTTTAGTGTGTGTGTCTGATTTCCAAAGGCAGGAAGGTCACATAGGTCAGGGGTGGAATTTGCCTAGTGGCATCATGTCAGCAATTGAGGTTTTGGTTGTATATTTTATACCTGCCTGTCTGCATGTATGTATGTTTTGCCGGTTGGGATTGAACCCATGCTGTACCACTGAGCCACATTCAAAACCTAGTTTTGGATTTTGGAGCATTTTAGATCTCAAGAGTTTTAGATTAGAGATGCTCATCCTGTATTATGAAATAAAACCACTCCTGTCTCAGAGTTCCCTACTCATTAACAGTCGACATGAAATCACTATCTCCTTGGATGTAAGTGCAGACTTTTCTTCCTACAGTTGTCTTAGCAGCTAATTTTATTAAAGCTCTTTGAATATAAGAGGCATGGTGGTCCTGTTGCTGAAATTTTTTAAATAGGATCTAATCAAAAGTTTCCCCTCTAGAAGACTTGCTTTAAACGGGGGAGCTGTTAAGGCCCAGTCTAGAGTCTCGAAGAATATGCCAGGTTCTCTTTCCACCCTGTGTCACTCATGCCGGGATTTTAATCAGATTTTATCCAGAGGACTGGGAGAGGCTGCTCACCGATGGGTATGTTGGCCTGAATGTGTTAAGTGAAATTCACATTGAAGTAGCATCTCAGGAACTGGTGAGAACCTCTGATGAAGGTAGACTACTTAACGAGGACAGGACCAAGAAACAAAGGTAATGCGGCTTGACGTTTTGGGTATCTTTGACATCTTATATGCATAATCTCATATTTGCTGTGTCATTTGAGTTTCTTTTGAAATTAAAGAACAGTAGGTCAGGAAGCCTTAACGTTGCAGATATAGTTTATTTCTTTGCAAAAATGCCAATTAAATTGTGATTCAGTTTTTTTTCTCTTATTAAATTATGTTGGCTTTATGTTAGTCATTTCTTATTCATCACAGAGCTGTTTAGTCTTTTTTTTTTTTTTTAAATCTAACTTTACAATAGGCCCTTATTTATTTATTTAAGGCAGTATTTACTTAAGTATCCTGGACCTTATGACCCTAAGTTTAACCCAGTTTCCTTCACTCTTGGAACAGATGCTTTCATTGAGTACTTCCAGTATGAAAATTAGGGTGCTAAGGTACTCAGAAGGAGTTAAGTGAGAAAGACAAAGTCAGGTCCTCAAGGAGATCACTGTATAGTGGGTGAGATAGGTGTATAGGTTCTAGTCTGTCTTTGTCGTTTTTCTCCATCAGTGTTCTTCTTGTTTTCATTGATGATTATGACACCATCCTACATATATATCACTTTGATCATATATGAGCTAAAAGAAGATAAGGGATAAACTTCTCCCAGTGACCCCATCCCTCCTCTCTGTCTGGTGGGCTTTGCCTCAAATAGTTCCCTTTCTGCTTTCATGTCACATGTATGTTTCTGTGTGTTTGTGTATATGTATGTTTAAATATGGCATGTGAGAGAAAACACATGATATTTTGGGGAGACATGTATTAAAATGATTTTTTAACAGTTTACATGTATTATAAATTCACACTATATTAAGAGACATGTACTAAAATAATTTTTAACTGTTTACATGTATTATAAATTCACACTATAATACATATAGAACAGTGAAAATTTCCTTTTTATTTTTAAATTTTGTAGTTATTTATTTCTAATTAAAAATTTGTATGTTAATGAGTGCTTTGCCTGTATGTATGTAAGCACATCAATGTGTGCAATACCTGCAGAAGCCAGGAGAGGGCTTCTGATCCTTTGAAACTGGACTTAGGGATGGTTTGTTAGCCACCATGTGGATGCTGGGGACCAAACCCAGATTCTTTGCAAGAGCAGCCAGTGCTCTTAATCACTGAACCATCTCTCCAGCCCTGAGAATTCATTCTTTTAAGGAAGCAGGGACTCTGCTCTCTCTTTAACACTGCTATATATGCTTTCATTAAACACCTGTTGGCCTGAGTTATGCTGGTGTCCAGCAGACAGTAAGAAGTTGATGTTGATTGAATAGTTGAATGCTCTCAAGTCCCAGAAATAGGAGGAAAGGAAGTGGAGCGTAGCAAGGACTTTCTAGGGAAGCAAGCCTGAGCTGAGTCCTGAAGCCTGAGAAGGGATTGCCCTGAAGGTTAGCAGTGGGACTGTGCAGTATCAGATACTGTAGAGGGAGCATAGATGCATGGGGATGGACCAGGTGCTGCTGAGGGGGAAGCACAGGCCAAGGAGAGAGGAGGGATGAGGCAGCCGTGGTTGGTAGAGCTGAGATTCTGGAGGGCATATATGCCTGTAAAGAACTCTGGACGGAATGCATATGAAAGTTTGAAGCAGGACTCTGGAGTCATTATAAACTCCGTTTGATAGCTTACTGGTGAAGTGTGAAGGGCACAGTAGAGGAGGACATGGCTGGATGCATAGAGGCTAGGAGAAGGAAGGCCTTGTAATAATGCAGCTGAAACAGGCGATCACTAATTTAAAGTGCTTGCAGGG